ACTTGCATTGCATGGCTATCAATACCAAAACATTCAGAACTCTAGAAACAAAGCCCATAAACACTGAGACACCAAAAACATATAAAGAAAAGAAAAAAAAACCATTAATGAGTTCTTTTTTTTTTTCTTTTTTCTTTTTTTTTGCAAAACCATTAATGAGTTCTAATTAGTTAGATCCAATAAAATATCACGATCAACTTCAGACAATCAAATCTCTCCCACCACCGGCGCTGAAAATGAAGACCAGCCGGAAACCCTCTTGCCCCTGTCTCCGGCAGCCCCACACGTCAACCCAATCACCGCTCTTTGCCTCGTTAGCCACAACCATCTTAAACCATTCAGTCTTTATGGCCGTCATCCTCAAGCTTCTCCAAAGCGTTATCCCCAGTTTGTACTCTTTTCCCGCCTTATCCAGTCCGGTGAACTCAATCCCGGCGGGCCCTTCCTCATCCGGCCAGATGGCCCGCTTTTCTTCCTCCGTCATGAATTCCTCTTTCATCTTCGCTGTCCCTTTGGCCGTCACAAACAGCCGGTTCATATTCTCCCTCACGTCCGAATTCTCCATCTTCTTCTTGAACAAGAAAACAAGGCCCGGCCCGGTTTTCTGCAAAACCTCCGGCGGGACGCACGGCGCGTGCGGCCCATCCCCATTGGGCCCTGATTTGCTCTTTTTCCGACCCGATTCGTATTTTGACCCGCTGGGACCCGGGCGGTCTTCAGACTTCCTCTTGGCCGGCGGTTTCTGCTCGCCGGAGTCTTGGGAGGCCGGCGACGGCGGCGGCGCGTGGATGATTTGAACGCCGTGGTCTGGGTAGATAGCGCGGAGGGGAGTCGGGCAGAGGACTTCTTCTTGGGTGGCGGGCCCCAGCGTGAGAAAGGTGGAGCTGTCGACTTCGCGGGCGAACCGGGACAGATTGGGGCAGGTCTTCCGGCGACGGGGGCGGCGGCGGCGGTCTGGGGGCGTGTTGGAGAGGCGGAGCGTGGTGTCCACGTCCATGTCCATGGCTGTTTTCTTGATGGAAATTGACGGAATACGATTGATAAAAGGAAAAAAAGGAAATTGTTTCTTGAATTAGTATGAAAGTCGAATATGGTAATGATTAGTGGGTTTGGAGTTGTAAGTATAGGGCTTATATATAGAAGTCTTTATGCGTGGCCTTTTCCTTGTATAAATTGGAGTAATTATTTTATTTCCTAATATAATGTGAAGTATTTTTCCTGATGAATTTAGGATGAGGATAATTTTATTTGGAGCACGTGTCTTAGGGTGCGATTGTAAAAAATAATGATGATAATAATCTCAATTCTCAACTCAAATCCTATTCAAATTTAAGTTAGCCCTACTATATTTAATATTATTAAATCTGGAAACTTCTAATTACATCTCTCCTAGTTTTACAATCAAATCAACCTTAGTTATTTTTTGTTAAATATATATTTTATTGTTTATTAAATCTTGCCAAAATCGATCCGATTACTATGCGACCTGTAAATGTAGTATTTGAGCCCAACTAGTGGAGGTAAGGAGCCTATGCGGGCTCATGCACGTAATGGGCTCAATTGTGATAGTTGACCCGATTTAATCAACATCGCGGTTTAATTTAAAGAGACAATCGGCCCGATTTAATCAACATAAAAAAATAGACTGCATGTTATTTCTGTCACCTAGTTTGCTAGAGGGAACTGAGATTTTGAGCATTCATTATGGATAAATTTCGAGGCGACGTGTAGCTAAATTTGGATGCTAATATAATGTGAGCTGGGGAAATGAATTTTTGGATGCCATGAAGAAATAAAGAACCGATAAAGTGAACTGTCCTACCAGTCCCATCATCAAAAGTCGAGTTTTTGCATGGAGCCACGTGTCACTTACTCACATTCTATTTTTTTCGTGTATAAATTCAACGTTTCAGAAAATATATTGAAAAATTACAACAAATATGTTAAGACAACTCTCTTTCAAATATGCATTCCCCTTTCTTTATCATTCGTTGAGTCGATCTACTTTTACTGTTTGGCGACCTTTCTTATCTAATATATTGACCTATTTTTATGTTTAATCCTTATTCATAAGAAACTAATTGACCTATTTTTATGTTTAATCCTTATTAATAAGAAATTAATTGGTTTGATAGTATTCCGTTACATCTAACCCACTTAATTACGCCTTAAATCCGCTCATTTTGTTATGGTTGATATCGAGTGTCAACAGGTTTTAAGTTTAAAAGGCAACATGTTCGATTCATTTAGGTACATCTTTTTATCATTTATACAAAAACATGTCTTAAGCATTTCTCTACCCTTTTCCTCCTTTATTCTCAGTGTAAGATGTTTGTTGTTTCATGTGAACCTTTGCCATCATCTCTCCAATTGATATTAGATGGTCTTGGAAGGTTAGAATAGAGCGTGTATTAAGTTAAGCACATTTTAAGATCAGCTTTCATGTCTTAAAATAGAAAAATGGATGCATACTTGGAAGGTTCAGTGGCACAATTGGTCCCTGTAAACCTCAAAACATGTTACAATCTACAAAATCCAAGTCTACTTTTTTGCTATATATTGCACGAGTGAAATTTCAACACTAACTAATCTAAAATAACCGAAAAATCAGAAACCCGAAGGAGTAAGCCTTTGTGATCTCGAACAGAACTATTCTTGAGCCTGAGGATGAACAAATACAGAAGATGAGGCTAACACAAATTATCAGCTTTTATCTTTCTCAGCTGTAATTTTTGCAATATATTTACAAATCAATCGGATTTGGACGAGCCTTCTTCCATGATCGAGTACAACTTTTGAGGTAGATTTCCAAAAAGTAGAGACACCATTTTATATTTTCATCAGCCACTATGTCTCGAAGCATAATCACTCGAGAGCCTCTTAGCCCACGGGCTTTCACTTGGTGACCAAGATATCGATAATTCAAGGGTTGCGGACCACCTTAAATACAGTAGAGCCACACCAGTAGACGGTGAATCTTTAAAAACCTCGATAATCCGCGATTCAGTCTCTGGGTCCTCGCCAAAAATAAGATTCTCATACTCTAATTTTTTCTCGTCCAGAATATTTTCGTCATGCGAAATCATTCTCATGCTTAGAACTTGCAATGCTTCCATGGCAGTGCTATGGAAGCCACTTTCTACATATGCGGTGAAAACGTGACTGCAAGTTGATGGATCGGGTTTGATTTTCTGTCGATACATCTGCTCTACAATGAGCTCGATCACATCAATCCTTCCCTGAAAAATTTTCAATACGCAGGTGTAGAATATAGTCAATAAACTGACACAATATGTAAATACAAGCAGAACATATGTATCAGAAAGTATCTTTGAACCTAAAACAGAAATGGCTTATCTTTATTTTACTTGTGTAATAAAATCCACTCAGATAAATAAATTACTTGCCTTTTGCATGGCTGCCTGAAGAATTGTGTTGTACAAAAACAAATCGGGTTTGATCCATTCTGGGCTCGCACGATCCACTAGTTCAAATGCCTCGTCAAAGTCCTCAGAGTCCAACAAGATCTGACACAAGCAACCACTTCTCATAAATTGTGTAAGATAACTCGAGTTGCCATTGACAAAATTGCACTCAAGAAATTATAAACTAAAAATAATTCACTGTCAGCTGACAAAATAATGGTTGTTCAGTAACACTAACAGATATGATATAACTTGAGGAAGGATGCTGAGTGTCGGATCTAAATATAAATGAATCCTAAATTTGTTTTACGAGTATCATGAATAGAATCGATTTTTCCGTACACAAGTGCAAGTCAGCAGAAGATTGCTGTATCTCGCAATACAACTGTCAATGTAAGCTGTACAATGAAAAAATTATTTCAGAAAAATGAGATTAGGAGAATGACACATTGTTCGTGGATGGATATAATAGCATTTCATGTGGATAGCATGTGTGATTCTAAAGCATGAAGACAAAAGCAGGCCCAACAAGAGAAACAAAACCTCTGGTTTAAAGAAAGTCTCATAAAGAGTACCTTAATTAGAGGTGTGCAAGTCACTGAATTGGGGGAGAAGCCACGACGAATAATCATCGAGATTATAGCACAAGCAGATCTATAGCATTTTATAATGCTACAGCAGTCGATCATAATGTTGTAAGTGGTTGCATTTGGTGAGAGTCCGCATGAAATCATTCCCTTGAATATCTCAATGGCAATATGACTCTAAACAAGACATAGGGAGAGAGAGGAAAAAAGAAAAAGTAAAAACATAGGCTTCCTAATCAGTACTCTTAACACAAGAATGCAGAAGAACAACAAGGGAATGCCATTAACGACCACAAAGCACTTACTTCTTTAGCCTCAACAAGAGAATGCAAAACCATGTTGTAAGTACGTGCCCCTATATGACTGCCTCTCTGTAAGAACTGGTTCTCTGCAACACCCAGGTAATGAATCATCTCCTTTATCATGCCTTCCCTTCCTAAGACTTTCAACTGTCAAAACCATGATTGAGTCAACATCATGACATTTTGCGGTTGGCATTTTGTTCTCTACATTTAAGTTAAAAAAGAATTTCAAATAGTGGCTGCAGACCCTGTCATCATGCCATCTTCAAGTTCACTTCCGAGTTCTAATGTTATTTAAATTATATGATCATAAATATGACTATACTCTAAATTTAACACAGTTTACCACTATGTATTTTTGTGTCGTGCCCTGCCGTGACTAATCGCACCCTTTCTCTCAATAATCATGTTTGTAATCAAGTGCTGTTCATGCTAGTGCTAGCTGTAGTGTCAAAAGTGACATTTTCCCCAGTAATATTATACAATATACATTTTCAGACTCTGCCACAACATCTAATATAAAATTAACAAAAGGAAGGATTGACACATTCAGAATGACTTCTAGATGAGGATAGCCTTTGAGTCCTAGTTTTAGTTTAGCACCTTACCAGATTGTAGATTGATGTACGACTGTGGTGGATGCCATGCTTCGACATATCCATTTCTATGGCCATTATCCTTTTAGCAACATCATTGTGCGAAAGCAAATCTCCTACCTCATAGGGTGCATTGACATTGCCAAACAATGAAAACAGCAGTTCGTAAGTCCTGATATCTGGCGTAATTTTCAAATCCTTCATTTTAGCCAATATCCTAAGAGCACGTACAGGTTGACCCTGCATCAGTTAGGAAAATTGTAAACGGAACACACCACAATCCTATTTGATTAGATAAATGTGGATAATAATGGAGAACGAGGGACAATCATTGCCTATAATACCAAGTTTACACACACATTTGATGAATATGACAGAATAAAAGTATACTAAAATGCAGGAAGCCGAGTGGTTCAAAATACTGAATATTATAATTTATTTGAATAAACTTCGGCATAAAGTTTTATGTGGTGGTGATGTCGCCTATTATTCATGCTGACTTCTTTGGCCATTAGTCGGATAGTTCTGAACATACTTACTGATATAAACAAAGGATTAGTTACACTCACCAGGGTATTGCATGCTTCTAGGAAAGCATTGAAAGGATAAGCGTAATGGCATTTGGACATTTGAGCAAGCATTGTCTCAGCCAAGTCCAATTCTAAACCCTTGCTGCAGCTTACTGATATTGCGGCAAGTGTTGAGTCGAGCGGCTTCATCCTTTTCTGTTGCATGACTTCTAGCTGCATTTGCATGAAAAGAGCATGAACTACTGTCCATATGCAAAAACAAGATCAGATTCCAAAAATGACTTGTATACGTAATATCTTACCACATCCATGGCTTCATGGAAATCCTTCACAGGAACCAATGATCTTACGTAGCCATCGTACACCCAGGATGATGGTTCCAGGCCAAGATTTTGCATCTGAGTAATACAGAATACAGACAGATTTGGAGTCAATGACCCACCCCTTTCTTGCTTTAATGCTTCCTATTATCTGAAGCATTTATTTATTCTTCTTTTCTTGCCATTCTCTCTCTCTCTCTCTCTCTCTCTCTCAGTGGCCAGATTGTTTTGTTTTTGCAAGATTTTACTGACACATGCTTAATTATCTTTAAACATTTTCGGACACCAAACATAACAATTGAAGAGTCGTTCACTTCAAAATGAAGAGCTTGAAGTACCTGTAACATTAAATGCTTGGCCAACAGAACATTTTTTGACTTAGCACAAGACTGAATGATGTCACCAACTGACCTTCCCAATAATTTCATGACTGGTTCGGAGAATGGTTGTCCTGACAAACTGTTTGTGCCAGCACTGACACCTCTTTCCACCGAGTCGAATTTTAATGCCTCATTTGAATCCCTTTCCTTGTAACATTCTGAACTTGAAAGAACAGAAGGATAATTATTCTCTTCACATTTATTCTGAGCCGAATCATCAGATAAGGGTATGGGAATTTCCGAGGTTGAATCAAGCAGCATTCTTTTAGGAGTTTCAATGATGCTATCTTTTTGTTGTAAGGCCACAGCTATCATTTGCTGTAAGGCAGCACAAGCAGACTGTAAATCTTTCAACATTGTGAAAGACCAGATAAACTTCTGAACAGTTATAATGCTTGGAATATGGCAGCTGATATACTCCTTCCAGATTTCATGAACTGCTGCTAGGTCCTCCCGCAAGACTGCAAGCTGGAAATAAAGAATTCAGAACAGTAGCTGTATATATGTAGCTCAATGAAACTTCAAATCCAGCAGTTCAATTAATTTCAAATTTTCCAACATTTCAAACTCACAACATTCTCTCTTGGATAGAGTTATCAAAGAAATTTCTTCATAAACTACTGATAACAGTTTCTTAAATTTTGTCCTTTATAAAAAAAAAATCAGCTATTTCTCTAGTTTCTAAATCAAGATTCTGGTATGCTCAGAGACAACCCACTCTTTAGGCATAAACGTAAGCCCTCAATGTACCACATAGAATCTAATATTTAATTTTGGACTCTTAGTAAATATTTCAATGTCTAGTAAACTATAAACAATATGCATTTATGCTATAACTAGAAAATGAAAGACTGCAGATATTATTATTCCTTCTCTAAACTGAAATATTAACTTAAGATTTGATTTATTCTATTTGTAAAGGAAAAACAAGTTGAGGAAAAATGGGAGTTTTCCATACCTTGAGAAGAAAATTGTACGTATAATCATTTTTGTGAATTCCCTGCTGCTCCATCATAGTCAAGCACTCAGTAGCATGATCTAGGCTATTTGATTGGACACAGGCTTCTAACAAAACATTATAAACCGGCAATGATGGATATATGTTCGAGTTTTCTCTTTGAATGCGCAGAATTTGGAATGCCTGGGGAAAAGCACACCAAGTAGAAATTGTTAAGGTCATAATGCTAGCATCAGATGCATATCTGCGGCCTTTACTAACAGCAGCCCATGAAAAATAAGGTAATTTCATGTGAGGCAAATGTTCACCCAACTAATAGACATGAGAGTTGAGACCATATCAATTAGCAGCACCCAGGCGAGAGGTACAGTCTTTTCTTTTGTTCTTTAGTTGTTATCTAAAAAATAAACTTATGAGTGAAAAAACAATGTAACACTTAAAACCCTAAACAAATTGAACTACACAAGATTTTGGAGTAAAAAAAATCAGAAAACTGAACAGATAATTGCTGCTTGAAAATCTGCACCAATCTGCACCTATCAAGTGAATTTTTCAGCTTTTCGATGTTGTTCATTTTGAAATAAATAATAAATAACGATTATGAATTTGCTTGGTAATTGTTCTGGGAGATGAAATACTGTTGGGGTTGAGTTTCTCTGCAACTGTGGCCGCAACTGACCTTTTGGGGACAAAAACACATAATTTTACAGTCAAAAATCAGCTGGTTTTAATACAACTTAGTTGTGTGGGATGTATAACATCAATTATCTTATACAGTTGATTTTCAAGAAGAAATTAGGAATTGACGTATTTGCGTAGCCACCCAATTGCTTATTGTCCCATTGATATCACCTATCACATTAATTACTACACCCAGGAACTACAGTAATATAATAAAAACTACCATGGTACCTCTTTCAGATGACCACCTCTACATAGAGACCGGATTGTAAGAAAATAGCAGTTGCCACTCAACTCAACATCCTTCTCCAGCATGACTTTCCAAGTTTCCATAACAAACTGCAAAAAACAGAAGGCAAGCCATATGCACATAACGAAGATTTTACTTTTCAGGAGTAAACCATCTATCGTAAGTTTCTCAAAGAGAACACCTACCAACGGATCGGGTGCTTTCGCACAATACTGAAGAATAGAGACAAAATCACGAGCTTGCAGTGGCAGGCTTCGATTACTGAGCTCAGACAAGAGGCAGGAAGCTCTACTTCTATCGCCCGAGTGAAGTGCATTAACAATTTCCTCCTGCATTGACCTTGAAAACGGCTTCCCTGGCATATATAATCTTCATCTCAGAGTTTGACACACACAAAATCTTTTCAAACTTTCTCTATTGTGCAGATGAACAAATAATAGGATGTCAAAAGTGTAAGCAGAACATACCACAAGAAGTTGCAAAAGGTCGAAATGCTTCAGTGACAGCAGCTGCATTCTTTCGTCCCTGTTAGCGATTCCCAGAAGTTGAGCAATTTTGAGCATTAAAATTGAAAATACCCCTTCACCTTAGAGTACTAAACAGCAAGAAACTCAAATGCAAAAGATGAAAACTTTCATACACACCCACATGAGCTAGCATTTTTCGTAAAAAGCAGAACTAACAGACAAGAAAAAAATGCAAACTCCCACCATTTCTTAATTTTCACAATAAACGGGGAGAATTTTTCCAACCCAACCTATCCATAAGCAGCTCTAGTGCCGAGATTTCAGTTCTTAGCTAGAAAAACCATTAGGATAACAGCATTTTCTAAAGATAGACGGGTACATAGAATTAAAATAACCATCACAAAAAACAAAAGCCGTACGAAATCTGTATCTTTCCAATCGCGAAGCGAATTTGTCAGGCATTTCAGACGGACAGTGAACCTGTTCAATTCGAAAAAATCACATAAATTGAAGGGGGAAAAAAGAAGAAGCTACCAAGAGAAAAAGAGAATAGAACACAGCTTAAATCCTAAATATTCCGCCGGAACGGGCTGACCTCATCATTGTCGCCGGAGCTTTTTCGCCCGAAGCTGCTCCTATCTGTGCTTGAACAGAAAGCGCTGTAGTTCATCGACACTTTTTGGTTTGGGCTTTAGAGCACTGTTTATTGGGCTAGATCTCTCCTTGATGGGCCTTCAATATCCTAAAAGCCCACTATCCTAAATCTATGAGATGGGCCTTCAATATCCTGAAAGCCCTCTATTCTAAATCTAGTTTTACAGGAGAACTAGGGTCCTTTCTCGAAAAAGTGTGATGGGATATGAAGGCGTTGGATCCAATCTTTCACAAAAATAAATCCTGAAAAAGGTGGGCTGAAGTCCATTGCAATGCAAAAAAAAGTCCAGCTCACGTAACGGAAAAGCCACGAGGTGTCCACAACGCGCCGTTGTTGCGCGTGAAGCAATAATTCCAAAGCCCCAGAGGAGCAGATAATGTTGGCTGTAGCAGATTGTCAGTTGGTCACCACTCATCAACTGTCTCACTGGGTCGTTGGAGGGAATCGCTTCCCGCCCTCGCATCGCCGTAAAGCAACGACCAATGGAACTCACGGCGGCGGCGATTTGTGCGACGGTGGCGCTTTCCTTTTTCTTTCTGCCTCCCACCGCCGTCGCTTCTGCTGAGAACTCACGGAGCCTCCGGCGAAAGTCGCCCACGTCAGGCCTTTGCGACGGCGTCATCGGGGCTGCCGGGTTCCCTTGCACCGAACACCCTGTAATTACTGTTTGATTTATCGACATCGTTAAAAAATTTCGATTTGGGCGCAGTTTGTAGCTATATGTTAATGTGTCTCACATTGTTTTCTGAATTTCTAAATTTATGATTCTTCTCCTCTGTGCCGCATGGTCTTGTGTGCTGAGTTTGAATTAGAACTTTGTTTTGTTGAATTTTACTTATGTGTGCTTACAAATTTCTGTAGACTCGAACGGAAGATGGGTTCGTCTTGGGGCTTCAACGTGTATCATCTCCTTCTCGTGTTGTGCTGAAGAGGGGCTCCCCTGTTCTGCTAATTCATGGGCTTTTTATGGTGATTAATTATTTTGCTTGCTTGATTTTTCTGTTAAGTGCATAACATATCAATAAATGGAGACTGTAGGTACAGAGTTTCCTGGTGTCTCTGTGCTTCTTCATCTTTCTTTAACATATTTTCTTGATGGTGTTTGTTTAGATTGTATTCATTATGTATTTTAGTTTCTCAAAGAAGAGTATGACGGTACTTTGAGCTTGGATTTTTTAAACAGCCTGCTCTCCACTTTCGTCTTTTGGACCATAGTTTTCTAGGATAGTGTAGTTTGATGCTAAGCTCTAGTCTTACGAAATGAAATATCTCGTTAGATCTCCACGGGCTGCCGTTTTATTTTCATTTTGGCATAAGTTACATTAGCTGGCTTATTATTTGGGCATAAGTTACATTAGCTGGCTTGTTATTTGGTCATGCACTAAGATGTTTGCTTGCAAAATCTAACGACAGATATTGAACTTGAGAAAGACCTTCCCTGTCCTACAGTTACGATAACTTCTTTCAAGTTTCAGGAATTTATGCAATCAATTAACAAACATTTTGGCAACTTGTATTATTTTGCATACATAAAAACGTGTTGAAATTATACACATTGGACCTTGCTTAGAAGTTTAGCTTTATGTGCTTGAATTGTTTTAGTTTTATCTTGAGATTGGATATAGTTTTCACGATTATCAATCACATGTGCACATGGATTACTTTCAGTTTTGATGGCTAACCTGCAGCTGTATTGCTAATTACAAATATAATAATTAAACAGGCTGGTGATGCATGGTTCATGAATTCACGAAATCAGTCATTGGGTTTTATCCTTGCCGACCGGGGGTTTGATGTTTGGGTTGGTAATGTACGTGGGACTCGTTGGAGTCATGGTCATGTATCCCTATCAGAGAGAGAGAAGGTGAATGCTTATTCGTTTAGTTAGTATATGTTCAATACAAGAGAATACACAGGAAGTGAGGAAATTGATCCATTGGTTGTAGTCTCTCATTGAGTCTGGTTTTTCCTAGTCATATTGAGAAAAATTTAGGTTCAATTCGTTGTTTCTGATCGCTTTAAGTTTGTCAACACATTCTTGCAAGCTAATTTTCTAACAAAAGTAATTCTCTCCATGTCCTAGGATAATCTACGAAGCAAGTTAAGAAGAAGTTAAAGGACACTCACTCGTGTTTTTCTCCGACTGGTGTTCGTGTATATAGGAATTGGTGTTGAAAATGATCAGTAATAGGTGTTGAATTAATCCTTCTCTACGTATGAAGTGTGAAAATATATTTCATTACCTTGTCGATCGTGGGACTGGTGTTTTCTATGCCTTTGGACCTCTATCATCTAAGAGAAACATTTACGCCTTCATTTTATGCATGAGGATCTTTGTTGAGGCATAGAAAAACTGTTAAAAGAGGCCAATGGAAATCTTCTAGATGGGATGGATATCTGGAACTTTTTGATCATGGCAATTGGTTTTTCAAAGTGCTTTACATTGATTTGGCTTTTGTTATGTTCTCTTTGTTTCAGAAATTCTGGGATTGGAGCTGGCAAGAGCTCGCTCTTTATGATCTGGGAGAAATGATTGGTTACGTATATTCAGTGACAAGCTCCAAAGTTCTTGTTGTAGGACATTCACAGGTCTCCATTCTCATGAAATGTTTTGGCGGTTTGTTGTGATATTTTGTGCTATTAGATTCTAAAATATACGTTCCTTTTCTTTTACAGGGAACTATCATGTCTCTGGCTGCATTTACTCAATCAGATATCGCTAAAATGGTTAAAGCTGCTGCCCTTCTGTGTCCTATATCATATTTAGAACATGTCACTGCTCCGTTCGTTCTTAGACTAGTCAAAATGCATCTTGATGAGGTCAGTTTGATGCCCTTCAAGGCTTCAATTATATTCTTGTTTGGAAATGTTTCCTGTCATGCTGAGAACATTTTTATATTATAGGTGATTCTTGCTATGGGCATTCATGAACTCAATTTCAAAAGGTTGCAGGGCAGTCTTTTTATTTTTCTCTAGCAGCACATATTGTTTTCTCCTGATTGTTTCATAATGATATTTTCAGTGACTTGGGCACTCGCGTTATGGATATGATGTGTGATGGACACTTGGATTGTGATGACATGCTTTATTCTATCACAGGTTCTCTCAATTCTTATTGATTTTTCATCTCTCAATGTTCCATCACTCTAGGATAAAGGGTGTTTGATAGCGCTAATGACATAATTCTCTAAATATATGCTTTCTTGGAGCTAATGATCTGTCTTCAAAGTCACTAGCAGTTGAAGAAAATAATCTATGTAACCCTTTTGCATGTGAGAAAGGAAGGAAAGTATATAGCCTTACGTTATTTGGATGGGTGCTATTTGTTGTGTATGAGAGTTGGAGTGATTATTTTTTTCCATGTTCTGTACATGAATATAAGACATGATGGTTTGAGGTTTGGAAAAGTTCTGGTGTAAAGTCACATCCACTCATTAAGGTATTTTATTTTAGTTAATAGCGTTAATAGGTTTTGTTATGTTTTCAAAAGGTTAGGGGTTGTGGTTCCCCTAGAAACCAAATTTCAATATCTGGACTTGCTTATCTTTTTTTGTGTGTGTGTGTGTGTGTTATTTTTCTATATGAACGTATTATGATTAGCTTTCCTTTAAATTCTAATTTTAGTGATGGAAGTTGGTACATTCCAATGTTCAAACTGATGGTGGAACTTTAGTTTGAAGCCATATATATATCAACGTATAGATCATATAAGTGCTTTGGTAATGGTCATTGCTCTATGATGCACATAAAAACATGAAAAAATGTACTAGTATTCTGAAGCGAGATGTCAGCTCAAGTTTTTCTGATTAATGTGAAAAATTATGTCTTCCACACAAATTGTGAAACAATTATGAATAGCAAAAACAGTATTTTATACATAATCTGCATATTTTCTTTGCATGCCAGGCTCATCAGTGAATATATTTCAAATTTGCAGGTAAAAATTGCTGCTTCAATAGCTCCCGAATTGAATTCTATCTTGAATTTGAGCCACATCCATCTTCCTCTAAGAACCTCCATCATCTGTTCCAAAGTACATTCTCTCTCTCTCTCTCTCTTCTCTCTCTCTCTCTCTGCAATATTTTAATATTCCTTTATCACAAGAGAGTTATCTTTTAAAGGTAGCTATAAAAGGCTGTAAAGGGACTGACTGATTTTGTACAACCGTTCTGCCT